TTTTTCTTCTTCCTTTTCTTCTTCTTCCTTTTCTTCTTCTTCTTTATTTCATTCTGATTCCCATTTAATTTATTCACAAGTTCATTTGATTTTTCAATGAAAAATTGCCTTTAGAGGAAAGCCAGCCCTTTATTATATTTTTACATCGACATAAATTACACTTCTGATATTTGAGGGATCGTCCCTAATAAATTTAGAAGGCCAGCGCAATATATATATATAGTTTCAAGGTGTGCAAAATTTGTCTTTCAATATCATATATATAACTCGATGTCCTCACATAAAAAACCGACCTTGTGTCAAACACCTCATGGGTTGACAGTAAATGTAAATTCAATAATGCAATCTTCTGGTCATGTATAAACAGATGTGTTTCTGTACACAATATTCTTCTTCTTCTTCTTTGATCGAATCTTCTTCATCTTCTTCTTCTCCTTCTTCTTCCTCTTCTTCTTCTTCTTCTTCTCATTATTCAATTATTATTATTATTTCAGTTGATTTCATTTTTTTTTTTCTAATTCATTCTTTGAATTCCTTCCTTTTTTTTCCTTTCATTTTTTTCTATTCTTCATCTTTCTTCTTCTTCTTTTTTTTCTTCTCCATTTTCTTTTTCTCCTCTTTTTTTCTATTTTTCCTTCCTTCCTTCCTTCTTTTCTTTTTCCTTCCTTCCTTCCTTCCTTCTTTTTTCTTCTTTTTTCTTTTTTCTTCCTTTCTTCTTTTTAACCTCCAATTTAATTTTTTGGTCCAGAAAAGTAAAAAGGTCCTATGGACAAATGGTTGCGCCAATCTCTCCACCACCCACAGAATGATTCAGAACAAACCGCTTCTTCTTCTTCTTCTTCCTCTTCTTCTTCTTAATTATTCTGTCACGATCAGCACCCTACATTATTTATATTTCTCCACAATTTTTCTTCTTTCGCCATTTTGTTTTTATTTTTTTTATTTATTATCATTCAACGCCATCTATTTAATTTTGAATTTTCGCAGATTGCTTTACTTTTTTTCTTTGCACAATTAAGCTATCACATTCCACAGAAATTTACTGTATCATTTAATTTCTGATTTTTTTTTAATAGAATTTCGACCATATCTTCTTATCATGGTATCATTATTTCTTCCTTTTTTGTTGTCATCTGATTTCAATTTGATTTCCATCCAGAAATTCGGAGGTCCAAATAATTTTGAAATTTTCCATTATAGCATATTTTATATATTTATATATTATATTGGATTGTTCTGTGAGTATTATAAAAAGTTGTATAAAATTGTTACAGGTCCTATCTATACATATATATATTGGGTTCGTATATATATTTCATATATATTTCCTCCCAGTAAAATATTTATTATTATTAGTAGTAGTAGTAGTAGAAGTTAGTTGTATGAGTTGAACAAGAAAACTAAATGTATAAGATTTATAACAGTAAGATGCTATTTCTGTCTATATTTCTGAGATGAGCTATTATGTGCTATTTACACTATTAATGTCCTCATCTTTATATATATTTATTATAACGTTTCGGCCGTTTATATAATCCGGCCTTCTTCAGGTAGGATGGAATGTCGAACTGAACCCTTTATTTCGCTCCAAAAGCCATGTTTTTTAAAAATCAGGAAGATGTCAGGATCATGCAAGCATCTCCTGAAAGTTCTCCACTTATCTTAACCGGGTCAGTGGTCACTGGTCAGGAATGAATTCAAGTCCTACTGATAGAATAACTAGCTATTATATGTGTCCTGTAAATGTGTTGGTAATAAATTTTATGTATAGGAATGCATTTTAAAATCATAAGAAAGGGATTTTTTTTGGTCATCAATGAAATTTTCCATTACTGATAGAATAGGGCTATTATATTCATAATTCTAAATGCTTGGTAATGATTTTACTATAGGAATGCATATAAAATGGAAATAAAGGATTGTTGTCAGTGGTCAGGAATGAAGGCAAGTCTTCTGATAGAATAGGGTTTTATGTATAATGTAAATGACGAAGAAAGATTTTACTATTGGAATGCATTGAAAATCAGGAAGAAAGGATTGTCAGTGGTCAGTAATGAATAAAGCATTACTGATAGAATAGGGCTATTATTCGTCCTTGGTTTGAAATTGCTGGTCTGCTAATGATTTTACTAGAGGAATTCATTGAAAAATATAAGAAAGGAATCTGTCAATGGTCAGGAGGTCCTGAATGGCATCTCATTTCCCCCAATAGAATAACATAACTTCCTTCTGTATAATGGAAATGCATCGTAATGATTTTTCTATAGGAATGCATTGAAAATCCTCGGAAGAAAGGGATTGTCAGTGGTCAGGAATGAATTAAAGCATTACTGATAGAATAGGGCTATTATATGTATAATGGAAATGTATTGTTAATGATTTTACTATAGGAATGCGTTGAAAATCAGGAAGAAAGGGATTGTCAGTGGTCAGGAATGAATGCAAGCATTACTGATAGAATAGGGCTATTATATGTATAATGGAAATGCATTGCTAATGATTTTACTATAGGAATGCATTGAAAATCAGGAAGAAAGGGATTGTCAGTGGTCAGGAATGAATGCAAGCATTACTGATAGAATAGGGCTATTATATGTATAATGTAAATGCATTGCTAATGATTTTACTATAGGAATGCATTGAAAATCAGGAAGAAAGGGATTGTCAGTGGTCAGGAATGAATGCAAGCATTACTGATAGAATAGGGCTATTATATGTATAATGTAAATGCATTGCTAATGATTTTACTATAGGAATGCATTGAAAATCAGGAAGAAAGGGATTGTCAGTGGTCAGGAATGAATGCAAGCATTACTGATAGAATAGGGCTATTATATGTATAATGTAAATGCATTGCTAATGATTTTACTATAGGAATGCATTGAAAATCAGGAAGAAAGGGATTATCAGTGGTCAGGAATGAATGCAAGCATTACTGATAGAATAGGGCTATTATATGTATAATGGAAATGCATTGCTAATGATTTTACTATAGGAATGCATTGAAAATCAGGAAGAAAGGGATTATCAGTGGTCAGGAATGAATGTAAGCATTACTGATAGAATAGGGCTATTATATGTATAATGGAAATGCATTGTTAATGATTTTACTATAGGAATGCATTGATAATCAGGAAGAAAGGGATTGTCAGTGGTCAGGAATGAATGCAAGCATTACTGATAGAATAGTGTTATCATTAGTTTTTGTTATTTTTTGACTTAACAAAATCTATTACATTTTTCATTCTTACTCATTAAGTTCTCACTGAAAATAACAATCGCAGCATTTGACTATTTTTTTCATAAACACAATTTTTCCAAGTTAATTTAAAAAAATAAACAAACAATAAGTTTTTTTCCGAATTTTTTAAAGTGCAATAATTTCAACAAAGTCTAACTCATTGGTGTGAAAAGCCATTAACGTCAAAAAAAGTAAAAAAAAAAAAAAAAAATGTAGACTAACTTTTAATTGGGTGCATCTGCACTTATTTATCATGTCTGCATGTTTCGTTTAAAACCAATGAAAATTTTGTTGGGTTTCTTTTGTTTTTCGTTTCTTTCGACTTTTTTCCTCGGTTCAGACAATTCACAAGATCTGGGCTGCAATTTAAGTTGCTTATCACTAAATACTTATGAATAATGTAAAATCACTTTACTACATGAAATGTAAACATTTTGTGAAACCAACGAACACTCGTTGCCACTTTTTGTAACGTCAACGAAAACGCGTTGTCATTTTCGTAATGCAGGTTAAGACTTTGTAATCGCAGATACAACTTATAGCAACGCCGTTGAACAATACTGGTGTCAGACGGCGTCCTGGGTAAGACGATAAACTACGTCCAGCCTCAAGGCCTTTGACCAGGAGATTTTGAAGAGGGTGGTACGACCTCTTAATTGCTGGTGTTCCCAGGTCCACTCTGACCCGGAGTGGTAGCATCTGTTAGGGTCCCAGCTATGGGAAAATAGTTAACCCCGAAATATAGGCTTTAATACCAGAAAAACTGTTTCGACACCATATTCCTCAGTCAGACGCCGAACAGGAAATCCGAGATCAAGGAAAAGCTCTACTTTTTGCGTTATTGACAACGAGAAAGACTTTTCTTTTCTTTTTCTCACTGTTACCCAGGTGGCCATCTGCAGTTCCTTTTTGACATTTTCACTGTATAAAGTCACAAAAATTGCGAAAAGAAAGAAAAATAATCAGCGAACAGCACACTCACGATTGCCAATTACGAGTGATTGTCAACAACGGACTTCGTCCTGGGTATGACGATAAACTACATCCGCGTCCTGGGTATGACGATAAACTACATCCGCGTCCTGGGTATGACGATAAACTACGCCCAACAGCAAGGCTTCTGATCAGGAGGTTTTGAGAACTGTAGAACCACCTCTTAATTGCGAGTGTTACCAGGTCCACTCTGACCCGGGGTGGTAGCACCTGTGAGGATCCCAGCTATGGGCAAATAGTTAATCCCGAATCTGGAGTAAAAACACAATGAAAGTGTAAAAATGGGTTTTAATACCAGAAATACTACAAAATATTACCAGCATTAAAAAAAATTTGTCGGCATTAAATAACGCATTGAGGTTGATATACCGTAAAATACAACAAAGCAAACCAAACTGGTGTCAGACGCCTTCGAATATCACTCGTTCTAATAGTACTGGCTCGATAATACTTGCTCGACAAGTAACCAGCGAATAGCAATACGTATAGTGATTAGTATAGTGAAATAATATAGTGAATAGAGTAGTATAAGAGGATAGACTAGAAATAGCGATCTGAATAGTATTAGAGGATAGACTAGAAATAGCGATCTGAATAGTATTAGAGGATAGACTAGAAATAGCGATCTGAATAGGATTAGGGGATAGACTAGAAATGACATTAATCGTCAGCTACATCAAAATCAACCTTACACATTTATAAATCTACCATTATATATATATATATATATATATATATATATATATATATATAGATATGAACACACCAAGATAGATAGATAGATATGAACAAACTGACAGAGATAGTAAGATAGATGGACAGATAGAGATGAACAAACTGACGCAGATAGATAGATAGATATGAAGAGACTGAGATAGACAGATAGACGTGAAGATAGATAGATAGACGGATAGCCAGCTAGCCTGAACGCACCAAGATAGATAGATAGATAGATAGATAGATTGATAGATAGATAGATAGATAGATATGAACTGACTGAGATAGATAGATAGATAGATATGAACAGAGTGATATATATATATATATATATATAGATAGATAGATAGATAGATAGATATGAACAGAGTGAGATAGATACTAATAGAGTAAGATAGATAGATAGATAGATAGAGAGATAGATAGATAGATAGATATGAACAAACTGACAGATTGAGAGAGAGAAAGAGAGATGAACAAACTGACACAGATAGATAGATTGATATATTAGGAGGCAGATAGATAGATAGATAGAGAGATAGATAGATAGATAGATAGATAGATATGAACAAACTGACAGATTGAGAGAGAGAAAGAGAGATGAACAAACTGACACAGATAGAAAAGATTGATATATTAGGAAGCAGATAGATAGATAGATAGATAGATAGACTGAAGTCAACTATTACCTATCCTACATATCCTTATCATTTATTTCCTCCTTTAATGTCCATGCAACAACCTCTTTCAGTTACACTCTACTTTGTGTGGCTCTTGCGCCTTATATTCGGTGACCATTTAGTAGACATAAGTAACGGAATTACTGACAACATTGTAAATAAATTCTTCAATAAAGTTTCTGTCTAAAACGAAGTATTGTCTTCGTTTTATTTCGTAAAGCGAGCGAACCTTTTGGCCAGCCACATTTGATACTATTCAGTTCTGGCCCCTAACATGCCGGAAACGAACTAATCCTGACCATATCTGTCATCCAGTGAGAACGAAAGCTCCCCCAAATGTGTAAATCCCGACACCTTTATAGGGCATCGATCAATCAATTGCGCAGTCTGATCAATCTCTAGAGCTTTAGACCCAGCAGCGGTTCCTGCCCATGTTGAAACACGGCAGTCGGACGCCATTACTAGATGCACGCCATTTTGACGCGAGCGATGCCGATTTCCCGCGCTTCAGGCGACGTGGCGCGCGGCAAAATTGTAATGGTGACGCTGGGAGAAATGTTTGTTGCTTTCTGGTTACGCTTTCTGGTGTTGCTGATGCCAATCTGGGGTTGTTAATGTGACGAGGGCGGTAGTTTGGGTAATTAGAGGAAGAACACGTTTACTGGTTGGTTGTTTTGTGGAAAGGATGGCAGAGTGAGAAGAGGAAAAATAGATAGATAGATAGATATGAACAGACAGATAGACAGGTCGATAGATAGATAGATAATGAATATACCGAGATAGATAGATAGATAGATAGATAGATAAAAATAGATGTAGATAGATACTTAGATAAATCGATAGATAGATATGTACAGACTAAGATAGATAGATAGATAGATATGAACAGACTGAGACAGACAGATAGACAGACAGATAATATATAAATATATAATAGATAGATAGAAATGATTGATAAATATGAAAAACTGTCATAGATGTGAAACATAGACAGATAGATATTAGATAATAATAGATGAAAAAAAGATATATGTGAACATTTACATTATTTTAAAAAAAATTATTTTATGTTTTTTTTTTAGATTCTTTTATAAAGATATAAATATTTATAAAAATGCTCTATTTATAATAAAAGTATTAAAAAATTTACCGGCCTGAATGTCCAAGAAATTGCCATAGAAAATATGCTTACTTTTTAAATCTGGTGTTAGATACATTTTATAAAATAGCATAGCTAGATATAAACAAACTGAAATGGACATATATGAACAGGCGGTGATAGATAGATAGATAGTTAGATAGATTTCATAAATAGATAAAATCCTCATATAATAGAAAGATAGATAGATAGATATGAACAGATAAATAGATATTTTAAGATAGATAAAAATTATAGATAGATAACATATATAGATAGATAGATAGATAGAAAAATATATAAGACAAAAAGACAGACAGATTCATATGAACAGACTGAGATAGATAGATATATAGATAGATAAATATATAGATAAATTTGAACAAAAAAATAAATTCTGGATTTCATTTAAATTTTACTGTCGCTAGAGCTCCCGTAAAAAGTAAATGATCCAATTATATGATTAGGCACATTATTACATGACTGGGTGAAAACGGTGATCCCCTGAGAAGTGTTTACAAACAATTGGTATTTGGTAATGTAAAGCATTTCTATATAAACACGCCTGTCGTACAGAAGAAAACAATTTTATGGAACTTTGAAAGTCAAACAGAATCACCTAATCGAATCCAAAACGCCATATTGCAAAACAAACAATTTATATCAAATGGACAAAAGATATGAACAGACTGAGATAGATAGATAGATAGATAGATAGATAGATAGATAGATAGATAATGAGCTGAGGTAGAGATAGATATGAATGAATATACCGCATGAATAGATGATAGAAGATAGAATAAGGATGACTGAGATAGATATTCTGATAGATAGATAGATGAATTCAAGAAGTGCTGAGCAGACTAAGATAGATAGATAGATAATGATAGGTAATAGAATGAAAACACTACTAGATAGATATGAACAGACAAATCAATAGATACAAACTGATAGATAGATAGATAGATAGATATGAAGACACCGAAATGATAACTATATTAATAATGAACTGAGATAGATAGATAGATAGATAGATAGATAGATAGATAGATAGATAGATAACAACCATCAATGGCCTCTGAACGCTATACACTTTCACTGACAAGATTTGGACCAATCCGTAATGTAGTTTTCAGGCACTTTTCAAATATGCTGGACGCTGTGTTCTAGGGCCGTTTGCATCAAGAAGCAACCGCTCTAAGAAAATAACTAGTTAGATTCGAACCCGGGATTTCATGGTCGGAAAGCTGAAGAAGAATATGCTGGTTCGATTCATGTCGTGCTCTGCAGCTCTGTCCTCTTGAAAACTCCGACTATGCGTTGGTTTCTTTAGATATTTCTTTCCGCTTCCCCATCAGGTAAGAACCCTTACTTTAACAGTCATGATTTTCTTCTCGATGCCTCGTGGAATTATATTTTTTTAATCATCTTGTTGATAATATGCCACTGAGGTCTCCTCCTGGCTGAAAGCCGGCATCGAAGCTTTCGTGCCAACACGGGAGTACCACGTGAGACCACAATCTACTCCTTGGTTCTCTCCTGCCTGTTCATCAGTTATAGTCCAGAGGAATGACTTTCAGTCTTTTTGCTGGAGCGGAACCATAAGGAAACATTCTAGTGGCTCGAAGAACCCCTGCAATAAATTCGTACAGGAGGACGCCATCTACAGGACGTAATTTTAAAAAAATGAAAATTCAATCATTGTTTCTTAAATGGCATGTTTTAAGGTTTCAGTTACTATGAATAAAATATTTTTCTTCCATCACTCTTGGTTTTATTGGATTGTTTCCGTTTTTTTATTTTTCATCACCCTATATATATATATATATATATATATATATATATATATATATATATATATATAGAGAGAGAGAGAGAGTGTTCGACGTATGAGGGTCAAGCAGATCAGTTCCCAGAAAACCGACAACAACACATGAGAGATTTGATTATAGTGGTCAAGGTTTCGTGCAGGACCATCCACACTTTTGAAGGGGCGAATATAGAGACCTGGTGCACTACGTGCCACAAGGTCCCCAAACGACCCTCCGCAGAGTTGTCCTTCTCCTAGACCAGTTGCCATCCAAGGCTATAGAACCAGTCTGTCGTGCTATTTACCCATAGCTGGAGGGAGAAGAAGAGGATTCACACCTTTCCCAAGGGAATATATATATATATATATATATATATATTGAGAAATGGACAAAGTCCGACAATTTATTAAAGACATTTTTATGTTTAACATTCTTTTCCCATTTACAAATATTTAAGCAAATGCTCTGTTTATAATAAACAGTATTAAATAACATTTACCGGCCTGAATGTCCAAGAAATTTTCATAGAAAATATTCGTCCATTGACAGGTTTCGAACCTGCGTCCTATACGGAACCGTCATTTATCTTGACGTAACTAACCATTCGGCCAAAAAATCGTTCGGTTGGCAAGGTTTACCTTTTATTCTGCTTATAAACTCAATCTTCCATTGGATGTACATTCATAACTACATAAATCAAATGTAAAAAATGACGTCATACATTAAAAATGGACAAAGTCCGACAATTTATTAAAGACATTTTTATCTTTGTGGCCGAGTGGTTAGGCATCGTCAATATAAAACACGGTTCCGTATAGGAAAAAATCCTGTCAAAGGACGAATATTTTCTATGAAAATTTCTAACATTCAGGCCAATTAATAAACTTAATACTGTTTATTATAAACAGAGATTTACTAAAATAAATGTATCTCTAAAAGAAAAAAACATAAAAAACATTAATAAATATATATATATATATATATATATATATATATATATATTATATAATATAATTTTAGTGAAATATAATGCTCAGTAGTAGCAGTATATATAGACAATTTTAAGAATAGAGTTTGAAAGTTTTGACAAAATATGTTATAATAAATTCAACAATACTAAATATTCGGAGAATTTAAAAAAAAAAAAGAGTTTTATTCAAATTTCAGGGGAATGTTCCAATCAATGGTTTTGGGCTACAACCTATTCTGTTGTCTTGTTTGTTAGTGCGTTCGTCTATTGCAGTGGTTTTCAACCTTTTTGTTGGAGCGGAACCACAAGGAAACATTCCTGTGGCTCGAGGAACCCCTGCAATAAATTAATTGTCTGATGCAAAAGAAAGCTTTCAATTATTAAAATAAAATACTCATCTTCAGATTTATTTACCAAAAAATACAAAGACAAACTGTAAAAATATTGTATACGTACATATGCAATTTTAATCTTGCTTCTATGGTTATTACACATGTATTAAAAAAAACTTCAGTTTAAATGGATTACATTTATTTTCATTAAAAAATTCAATGAGAAACTTGAGCCTGATGTTTCTTCAACAAATCTTTAATACTGGGTCGTGTTTTTGACAGACACACACGAAGTTCATCTTCCACAGACAACAATTGTGCTCGGTTGTCAGAGCTGAAAATCCAAATTCACTCATAAGTAGGATGTTGAAAACTGCCTGAGAAGGCGCAGTGCATTCTGGGAAATTGCAGGATATTCCTTTTTAACCAGCAACCAGAATGCATTCAGGCTAAACACAGAATGCTTCAATTTTAATGTTCTGTCACTTGAAACACAAGTTCTTCTTCTTATGTTAATGTAAACTGTTCTTCAGATGGCTCAAATTCCACAAATGGGCTTTCTTTCTTTCTTTCTTTCCTTTTTTCTTTCTTTCTTTCATTCTTTCTTTCTTTCTTTCATTCTTTCTTTCTTTTTCTTTTCCATCTTTCCTTTTCCTTCTTTCCTTTCCCTTCCTTCCTTCCTTCCTTCCTTCCTTCCTTCCTTCCTTCCTTCCTTTTCCTTCCTTCCTTCCTTCCTTCCTTCCTTCCTTCCTTCTTTCCTTCCTTCCTTTTCCTTCCTTCCATCCTTCCTTCCTTCCGACATTTTCTTTCTTTCTTTCTTTTCTTTCTTTCTTTTTTTCATTCTTTCTTTCTTTCTTTTCCTTCTTTCCTTCGTTCCTTCCTTTTCCTTCCTTCCTTCCTTCCTTCCTTCCTTCCTTTTTTCTTTCCTTCCTTCCTTCCTTCTTTCCTTCCTTCCTTCCTTTTCCTTCCTTCCTTCCTTCCATCCTTCCTTCCTTCCGACATTTTTCTTTCTTTCTTTCTTTCTTTCTTTCTTTCTTTCTTTCTTTCTTTTACTTCCTTCCTTCGTTCCTTCCTTCGTTTCTTCCTTCCTTCGTCCCTTCCTTCCTTCCTTTTCCTTCCTTCCTTCCTTCCTTCCTTCCTTCCTTCCTTCATTCCTTCCTTCCGACATTTTTCTTTCTTTCTTTCTTTCTTTCTTTCTTTCTTTCTTTCTTTCTTTCTCACTCGTTTTTCTAGTCATACTGGTCGACAGATATCGATGGAAAATATTTATCAAGATTAATTAACAAAGTGTCCAAACACACATATCTGCACAGGAGAATTAAAAATTACTATCAATCATAGTACTTGTGTAACTTCTTGCGGAACCCCCGGGGCTTTACTGGCGGAACGCTAGGGTTCTGCAGAACCCTGGTTGAAAACCACTGGTCTAGAGGAATGACTTCTTCTGGCTATACCAGAGCGACCGGCCCGATTGTAACAGGTGGCTCTTTGTCACCACCCGTCGTAATCAAGGTAAGCGCGTCCTGAGAGAGGCTGTTCACTCTTCGGTGCTAGAATGAGACACCGTATAGCCTGTCACAAGTTTAATTCTAGGATTACTGGCGGCTCTGCAAGCAAATTCCAAGCCCCTCCTCTCTTCAATCAGTCTGAAGTGTTTACATCCAACTCCACTCTCGACACACTCGGGATATCTCTGCTTGATATCCTCCCAGTTTAGTATAAACAGTAAGTATAAGCGTCGTATTGATAATAAAGCTGACATCAGCCTTGCGCAGAGTTGGAACAATAAAAGAAAAGCATGCACTTACTTTATCGTTGGAAGGTTTAAACATGTTTATGGTATGCCCCTTTCTTTTTTTTTTTAGTTCAGAAGTTATGGTTTGTAAGTATAAGCATCGTATTAATAGTCGAGCGCTAGTCAGCCTTGCGCAGAGTTAGAGCAACCAAAGAATTGTTGATGTTTTGATTTTGTTTGTTTTTATTTACGGCATATCAACGTCAATGCGTTATTTAATGCCGATTTTTACAGCTACTAATATATTTTTTTCAAAAATATATTGCTGGTAATAATGTATTGCTGTTAATAACTTTTTTTTTCTTCAAAAATATATAGCTGGTATTTTTTTTTTCCAAAACGTATTGCTGGTAACAATTTTCCCCCCCAAAATACATTGCTGGTATTAAAACCTATTTTTAGACTTTCATAGCTGGGAACCTCACAGTTAGTGCCACTCTGGGTCAGGGTGGAGCTGGAAACATCAGCAAGTAAGAGGTGGTTTCCCGCTCCTCAAAGCCTCCTGATCAGAATGGTCGGTTTACTTCGGATATGGAGGCCTCGGAAGACAGACGTCGGAATGCGAAAAGAGAGTTCAGTCGTCAGCGGACCGGGGAAACGAACGTCCCCTACCAAGAACGTAATTACGACGATGTGCTACATCTTGGAGCAAAAAGTACAAAAAAGATCAATAAGGAAAATGTTTGTCTTTTTATCGACTTAACCAGCTCCGCCTAACAGCGTTTGACGAAGCCAAATATTGTAATCATATTTCTGGTTACTTTACTCTTAGTATCACAGGAAAAAACATTTTTCTTCTTTTTTTTATTATTCATTATTGTTATTTTATCGATTGTAATTCATTTTCCTATAAGCCATATTTATTCAGTGGGTAACTCAGTCCTGTAATGATAATCTTCTCATGGTCATACTCGACAACAAGGTGGCAGATATCCTGTGTGTGGGTGTGGTGGTGGTAGGGCGTGTTATGCCATTGTTGACCCCACGAAATTAGATTCCATGGCGGTCAGTTTTCGTTATCTTCCCGTCCAGGAATTTCCCGCCGTCGCAGAAAAAAATGTCGGCTGCCGTAATAAAAGGTTGATATCTTTAGTCTTCCGGCTAAATGTGACAATAATGGAGGTTACTTATGGCTAATATTTCCCGGTTATTTTTTGTTTT